CCTGAGCCGGTGAGATTTGAACCGCTGACCTGCTGATCTAGCAGTAGCCTGCAGTGCTGCATTTAACCACTGCGCCACCTTGGCTCTTATGATCACTAATAGGTCGCATTTGCTTGATAAAGCCCCCACCCTCACCAAAGAGCTGGCATGCGTCTCTGGCCTTCTGCCCGAGGGGCTTCGGTGGGCAAACTCCCCCTTTCGATTCTGGAGTCTTGGCTTGCCTGGACCTCCAGCCTGAGAGGGCTTCGCGGAAGACCCGATTGGGATTCAGACGATAGAATAAGACGGAGACCCCCGGTTAACAAATAGCAGGGGCACCCAGCACAGGGGGGGTGGGGACTCACCAACTGAGGGCACCCCGAGATCTGGGGAGGACCAGGCATTGGCACTCTCTCACACCCAGAGGTGCCCCAGGCTGGTAACCAGGAGAGCAGAGCCCAAATCCCGACTGCACTGAGCCGCAAGGGCAAAAGAGAAGAGCGGCCTATTGCACCTGCCGCTGCCCCCTCCTTTCCGGAGCTCTTTCCCATCCGCAGCTTCCTCCAGGGCGGAAGGTCTGCGGGTGGAGGAGAGCCAACTCTGGGCCAAGAGGGAGATCTTAAGAGCTGCACACACATTTACCCAATGACTTCCCTGAGGCGTTTTGTGTCTGTGTGTTTTTCTTCACCTAAAATGTTTTCCCTGCTATTGTCTGGACGGCCAGACGGCCTGGAAGAGACACAAGGAAATAGAGGGAGGGGAGGGAGGGGGAAGAATGAAGGACTCTGCAGAGACGGCCTTCCTTCCGTGGGAACCAACAGATTCGGTGCCAGTTCAATATTTATCCCAGGGGGAGCGCAGTAAATTGAGGACTGCGGCAGGAAATTTGCTTAACTGCAAAAAGAAAAAAAGACTAATTATTTCCAAAGCAAAGGGCCACAACGTGCACGCCAAGCAGGCAGCGAGTTCCCTGCTTCCTTCTGGGTGGTGTGGAACCTGCACCCCTCTCAGCCCAAGATTGGGGTCTCAGTCCTGGACCCAGAAAAAGCAAAGCAGGCGGATGCTCCCCTGATGGACTAGCCCCCCCCCCTGCCTCCTCTTTTCCTGCCCCCACCCTCAATTCTGGCACACGCACACACCAATCTCTGCCATATTCTCTCTCATCAGCTGGCTGGGAGAAAGACTGGTCGTAGTTTCAGTACCGTTTTACAAAGCCTTAGAAAGGCCACAATCGGGATGTTTCACTCCGTCCTCTAGAAAGAGTGCAGAGAAGAGCAACTAAGACGTGATTAGGGGGCTGGAGGCTGAAACGTATGAAGAAAAGTTGCAGAAACTGGGGGTGTCTATAGTCTAACGGAAAGGAGGACCATGGGAACATAATAGCCGCCTCCCAGTATTTGAAGGGCTCCTGCAAAGATGTGGGGGGGGGGGTCAGTTTTCCAAAGCCCCTGAAGGCAGGACAAGAAACAATGGTTGGAAACTAACCAAGGAGAGAAGCGACCTGGAACTAAGCTAAGCCGTGAGAGCAGTTGACCACTGGAACTGCTGGCCTTCGGGAGTTGTGGGCTTTGAGACTGGACAAGCGTTTTTCCAGGGTGGCATAAGATCTCTTGCTTGAGCAGGAGGGGTTGACTAGAGGACCTCCAAGATCCCTTCCAACTCTGTTATCCTACGTTCTTGTAGGAAAACTGGAGGAAATGTCAGCATTCATCCGGAAGCATTCCCATCATCATCATCATCATCATCATCGTCATGGCTTGTCACAGTCACCCAGATGTTCAGACTGGATTTGGCATTTTTGTCTACCTGGTATCCAAGACCCTGGGATGGGTAGATGCAGATAGGCGACAGATATCATCGCAGGATGATGATGATGATGATGATGATGATGATTTGTTAAATTTATTTGCCGCCTATCTCATGGCTCTTCCTACACTCTCTGCCAGGGCCTGGATGCTGGCACAACCCCGGCTGAGGGCACGTTCAGCAGCAAGAAAGACTTGGCAGAAGCGGGGAGAAGCGGAGGACCCAGAAAGCTACGACTCCCACTTTCAAACCAGAGGATATTTTTGCTCCCAAGAATGGTCCAGAAACAGGGCAGAGAAGTTGGCTGACCAGTCTGGGGAGACTTCCTGACAAATGGCACAAGACAAAGAAATATTTGTCTCCCGGCAGTCGCGAATGACATCCAATAAATAATCAGGGAGGGAGGGGGGAAGCTGGGGAGGGAGAAGCGCCCTGTGAAAATAATTGAAGAGCTTCAAGGGTAATCAGTGAAGAGAGACAGAGAGAGAGAGAGACAGAGAGAGAGACAGAGAGAGAGACAGAGA